TGTGTGGAATTTTGCAATTTAAAAAACTTGGGGGTTATTATTTCTTTTTTTAAATACGTGTCATTCTCACACAATAAAATGATAGGCTGGGACAATCACATGCAACTTACATCACACTTAAATATTATAAGATTTATTGACAATTTAATTGAGCAAAATGACAATTTAAAATATTTAGTTGTCAATTTGCTTTATTAAGTTATTAATGAATCTTGTGGCATTTAGCTGGGAAAACAAAACAAAAAGTTCCTGCACTTTAATTGCATTTTGTTTATAGTCCTTGTAGTTTTATTTCATTATTTTCAGTCCATTTAGTTTGATTAATCTGCAACATTAGTCCACTTAGTTTTAAAAATGCGCATGAAGACCATAAGATGGCATTGACAAGAGGAGTAATGATTTCAGTACTGTAACCCTGCTAATTTCTTTGCTGACGGGTAATTAAAAATATACCAATGACATGAAAATAAATTTACTATGTATGATTAAAAATAAAAGACAGATGAAAAATTGTTCTTTTATATTTAGCTTAAACATAGCATCGGAGACAGAGGCAATATTAAGTGTCAGCAATTGGGTTAATAAAGTTAAATATATGTCAACAAAGAAATGAAACTATGAAAACTAAAAACAAGACACAGTCAAAACATGAGGACCTATTATTGTATTTTTACTGTTTAATTGTGTTGTAAGATTCTTAAAGTAATTTTCACGTGAACTTTTTAATTTTGGTAAGTAGATTAAATTCAGAAATGTTGCTCAAAATTTTGTGATAGCCAGCAAAAGGTACGTACCACAAATATTGTACATCACGTAACGTACTAGTGGATGATGCAAGTGGGCTGATTTGATTGAAGGCTCTTGGCAAGTAGACATAAGATTAGATTATTAGTGTCACCATTTTTGGTGCAGTGTTGTTGAGATTCCCTCCTTATTTTGGCACCGATGTTCTGCAAGGCATGAGGTCTATGATTTTTGTCTATATTAGCCTTGATAATGCAGTTTGTTACAAATTTATATATCAGCTGGGAATCCTTGAGAAATTTTATATCAACTAGAACCTTAAGAATATAATATTGCACTCCACCGATGGTACTTATATGAAAATAAGTTTTTATAGAAAAATATTCAATTATCTCTAAATTTTAAAATAATAATCTATTCAGATTTTGATAATAACTTATTTATAATTAACAACAACTCATTCAAAAAAATTGAATATTTGTTAGTCTTATTTAGATAAATATTCATTTGAGTTTTAATAACAACTCCTTTATAATTAACAATAACTCATTTGAAATGAACAAATTAAAAAAAACTTATAGGATAAGTTAAATTATATTGGACAAATGTTAGTTTTATATATAAACAAGTATCCATTCAAGTTTTGACAATAATTCAATTGTAATTAACAATAAACAATTCAAAAATGAACATGTCAAAACAACTAATAGGACAGATGGAATTGAATAGGTGTTAGCCCTCCATAGACAAGTTTTTATTTAAGTTTTGACAACAACCTTTTATAATTAACAACAACTCATCATGGTTTCCCGTTGAACTACTTATCTTTCATTAAAAGGGGTAATTAGGTCTTTTTTTATAAAAAATTATTTTCATAGAAGTACCAAGGGGCTTGAGGTCCTCAATTTATATATAAAATTTTTTGAGGGGTTTTCAATTGATATTTTTCTTATTTTTGTCTCCACTTTTTTTTTATACAACTACCATTCTAATATTTAATATTCCTATTTGGTATTTAATTATAATGAAATTATTCCTGTCCCTTCTTTTATAGCTAAACTTATTATTATTATCATTCCATGCATGCATTGTATGAGGTTTGAAAAATAAGCTGCGTTATTTATAGTATATGTAGAATGTAGCTAGCTAACTCCACTTTTTTTTTATACAATTATTTGATATTGATCATACTGTTACATCATATTTGAATATTGTTGAGTTTAATAAGAAAAACTTTTTTAGTCAGATTTTTTTTATTTCTATTAAAATTCAAACCTTTGACTTTACTTAAGAGGAATCGAGTTTGATCCAACTAATCAATCATTCCCCACTTCTGCAAGAATTTGCATGATTAATTCATCCTAGGCTTCTTGCTTTAATTTCAACTCTTATTATTGGAGCTTCTTGAGTAGGATAAGAGATCTCCTAAATTGCAATGATATTAATTACAATAATACTTAGAAGTCTATTTAACATTGGAACTTATCATTTCTTTCTTTTTTTGGCCAACCATTGAAATTCATTACATTATACAATGCACAAAAATAAGTTTAGTTTAAGATATTTATAATAATAAAACATAATATGATGAGCTCCACCTTTATTAGGACTAGCCACATATTTTTCCTCAATGCGATGTGAGAAATTAATAAAAATTTTCATTTTTTTGAATATTTTACTTTTTTTAATATTTAAACTCACCTGAAATAGGTAGTAAGAACATTAAAAAAAAAAAAATGGTCCCAAAGAATGGTTAAAGAAATTTTAAGATTGCATGCAACTCAAGAACAGTATCCTTCTTCATAATTTATAAATAACACTTATATCTTTGATGTTTTATGTTATTGATTAAATCAAATTTTGGTCAAAAAAAGATTATATCAAATTTATTGTACCTTTATTTTTGTCTTTCCATTTTTTTTGTCCCAACAAAATTTGAATTTAAATTAATTGATAAAATAAAATACTTAAAAAAGTGAACTTATAAAATTTTAACATGATTATGTATGTATAAAAATCTTAAGTTGATTTTTCTATCAAGTCATTTTTGAAATATTGATAGTTAGATCTTAAAAGATTGAAATAAAATAGTTAAGGTTCTTGATAATTTTTGTAACAAGTTGAAAAAATCAATTTAAACAATTATAAATTCATAAATTTTAATTGCAGATAAAATATTTGAGTTTTAAATATAAATTTTTTATTATAATTAGGACTCTTATTTATAATTATCTAAATTTATAATTTATTTTTTAAAATTTTATCAAAAATTTAATTGTAATTAATGTATTTTTTTGAAGACTTAATTGTAATTGATGTATTTTTTTGAAGTGAGAATTTTTTATTAAAGGCCCTTACATGTGACATAATTTCAATTGAAGTTCAACAAAATTCTGAAATTCACTATAAGGCTGGAGGACTGAAATGAGATAAGTTCTCTTAATTAAATGATCAAAATATTTTTCAATTATAATTAACATTATTACTGAAATAACAAATTAATTTTTTTTTTATACAAGTAACATTACTAGAATAAACATAGCTTCTTGTTATTCTCTTAATATTATTTGTAAAAACCATAACTTATTACTATAGCAATATTATTTGTAAAAATTATAAATTTATTTATTATTTTATTAATATTACTTGTAAGAACGTAACTTAACTTATTATTTTAATAATATTAGTTATAATTGAAGTATATTTTGATCATTTAACTAAAAAAATTTATTTTATTTTAGCCATCCAAATTTGCAATAAAAATTAAAATTTTTAGGTTTCAATTGAAATTATATCATATTCAAAAGTCTTTAATAAAATTCTCTCTCTCTCTCCCACCCAAGCTTTCACTATCGCACAACTTTATAGGATACTTTCTTCATTTTTATTTTAGAAAAAATTACCTCTTTTTACTTGTTTTTTTTATATAAGTAAAATTATATATTTTAATAAATATTTATTACATAATTTTTAAATTATCCTTCATAATTTATATTAATAAAAAGTAATTAATATATGCTTATATTGATTAACATAAAATATGTTAATTTAATTTTTTTAATATAATTATTATGATTAATTAATTTTTTAAATTATGTAATACAATTTTTTTATAAAAATGAAGGAGTACATCCCATCCAACCATAAATCTCATATCGATAATAGATAATAAAATTTGATTCCACGTACGTGTCAAATTTTTATTAACCCAATCAATGTTCGTTGGCCAATCCAACTGATTTCTGATGGGAAATTAATCAGGTTTTCTGAAAAGTCTGCAAACCACATGCTCATCGGGACAATTTAAACAAACTCCTTACTCTTGGCCATAAAAAAAAAAAAAAAAAAAAAAGACAAGCTCCTTACTTTGCTCGACAAAAGCTCCTGGATTAATTATTGGACCACACAGTTCATTACAACTCAGAAAAAATTAATTGGACTAGGAGAAGTAAATGTTTGAGCTTAAGAAGCTTCTAGTCCCCATAACTTTGCACAATTATTTCCCCTTTTTTGGGGACATAACCTTTCACAATTTACTGCATATGTCCTCCGACTTTTCAAACCCTTCACAACTTTTCACTGTTAATAGATTGAACGCGCTGTTCAATGTTCTTTCAGTTGGTGCAAGAAATAAACAGATATATTTATCCATTAATTAACTTTCATGAGCTCATTTGAGATTGACAACATCTATTAGTTCCATGCGCGCGCGCGCGCGCACACATATATATATATTGAAATATTTTAAATTTATATTAAATAGTTATTGAGTTTAAAACAGATTAATTTTAATCATCCTGTGTGAATTATGATAGACATGAATCATTCAAAGTCAACTTATTAATAGACGCTCAACCTACAGGGCTAATAACCCTTTGATTGTCAGTTCCCCCCCCCCCCAATCTTTTAACTATCGAGGTCAAGAAAATTTCGGAGTTAAAATAATTAATTAATAATATGTATAAGCGAATATAATCTAATTATTCTTCACAGGTTCAACATCTCACTGTCTTTCACACACTCCTATATTTCTTTGTACCTTTTAAAGGCCAAGGGAATCTATCTAATAGGTTTGTGAACTTGCCCCACTTTTAGTAGAAATTCTTTTTTATATTTTCCCTACAACAATGAATTTGCAGGTATGCTTATTAAATTTAACTACGATTATTTTATTTAATTAGTCACATATCAACAACATATACATTATTCTATACGATGTTATAACTAAGAAATTTTCTGCTTAAAAAGAACAATCTAAATCACATAAGAAATTTATTACTGCAAACCCGGTTTAATATGTCAACTAGCAACACACTATAAGTGTAAAACTAATTAAGAATTATGATGATACTTTAAATGACAGACCAGAGCCAGCAAACTTTTCATCAATGACTTCGGATAATCTCTCCACCATGGAAGGTGACAAGTGATTAACCCACTCTCCAATCTCAGCCTTCCTAAACAGATACTTGATCTCAAAGTTCCTACCAAAAGTTCCAGATTTGTTCACCTGCAATTCCTTCATCTTCTCAAAGCTGCACAGCTTGATGATGCTATCAACCAAACCAGTTTCTTCCTCCTCCAAGCTGAAAGGACAGCCCAAGAACTCTGCAATTCTCTTCAACTGATCTGTGGTATCTTCTTTCAGATCCTCATACTTCAAGAACAACACCTTGTTAGGTCTCTCCTTGCTCTCATTCCAGTACCTCAACATGTGGTCCCATGAAGGACCAAACCCAATTATCCCCTTACAGTACAGATCAAAGGCCTCTTCTAGTGTCAATAAAGGGATTGATTCTGGCTTGACTTTGTTCAAAAAAATCCAGGAAGACACAAAAGTGTCGAATGGGTTTCTGCAGATGTAGATTATCTTACAACCTGAGTTTTTGATTGAGCTAGGCATTGCATGGAACGGTAGGTGGGTGCCAAAGAGTCTTGGATCAGGCAAGCTTGACAGATCAGGAGCTTCATCAAGGCCTCCATAGACAGTATACTCAAAGAAAGGAACAAGATGGTGTGGATTTGAATGAAGCAGAGGGTGGTTCTTAGAAGAAGGCGAAAAGCTCTTGCGATTAACAGTGGCGAAAGTGAGGCCTTTCAACCATGTGGTTCCAGATTTTGGGATCGTAGCAACAACAACATCTGAATCTGTGGCCTGGAAGTGATTCTGAAGCAGGGTAATGGCTTGAATCTCTGCAGGTTGGCACCAGAATCCTTGGAAGAGATACAGATAACGAGTTCTCCAACCTCTCTCTCTGGGAAGAGAGAGAATCAGATCTTTACACTCCTGGCTCAGCTTTTCTTCTCCTTCAACAATGGCTTCTAATTCTTCTCGACGATCAGAATTATTGGATCGGGGTTTTGTGAAGTGAATCGGAGCCTTTGGAGCCATTGGAGAGACAAGAAGAATAAGGAACCGGTAAAAGAGAAAATGGTTCTGCGAATTTCAGAGAAAGAAGAATCCCAAATTTCTAGCAGAAGTGGTCGTAGGTGGAAGAAGAGTTCATGGAACACGTTGAGAACATGCAAAGAAGGACGATGCTGTGCTGTCCATTGGCCTACATGTCGGTGTGACGTCACACTTCTATATATGACTTTTGACAAGTCTCTTATCCACTTTTGCAAATTGTTTTTTTTACAGGAAAATAAAAACAATGAGTCACAGCAAAATATAAAACTTTATGGTGGATAAATAAGACAAGTAATCCGAGTAGCTACGCCGCCACTTCTTCTTGAAAAAAAAAAAATTACCAGTTGAGAATAATGGCTTTTTTAAAATTATTTTTACTTTATTGTTTTAAAAGTTGGTATTTTATAAAATATATTTTAAGAAAAAAAATAACAAGAACAAGTATTTTTTACATTCTTTCTTGTTTATTAGAACATTAATCCAAAAATATTTAAAAGATATTTTTATTTTTTTATTATCCAAAACAATATTTGATTTTTAATTTTTTTAAAAATACTTTTTGAAAACATATTATCAAACAAATTTTTGTTATTCTTTTATTCTAAAGAACAGAAAATTATTTTTATAATAGGTTGCCAAACAAATCCTAAATTTTGTAATTACCAAACAATATTTCTTTTTACTTCTTGAATTTCAGTGCTCATTACAGTAATGATGAACTAGATTAATGCTTCACACGTTCACTACTTGAGTTAGCCTTTATTTTTCATGAAGTTTTATGTATTTAATAAATTTTCTCATTAGTTACTATATTTATGTATGTATTGATCTAAATAAAATTTTTTTTATTCCATTGGCTTGGTATCCTAGGAACTATAATGTATTACTACTTCTCATTCACACTAATCAAAACGCCGCTAGTGGAAGTGTAATTAACGTAACTGCATATTTTAAGATTTAAATTTAAAATTTTAGAATAAACTGATTTAACTCTCTCAGCTAGTTGAATCAACCACCTCTTGATCTAAATAAAATATCTTTAAAGTAAATCATTGTTTATCTGAATAAATTAAATGTCACCTAATTATTTTTTTTACCCAATTTAAACCCACTCACTTCACCGTCTCTTGTAGCCATTTTTTTCCTTTTAAAATGAGATTTTAATACCCAACACACTCTCGAAGGTCAAAAAACAATAGATAGAGTCGTGAGAATCCGGCACTAGGATTATGGATAAGTTTGAGACGCATTCAGATAAAAGAAATCCTATTTTGTCAAACGAAAGATCGATAATTATATAATATCTAGTTGTCTACTACACGCACTCAACAACTATTATTTTAAAACTAGAAAATTCTTTGGAGACAATGAAATTAAATGAAAAGACTTGTATTGTACTGGGTGTTGCGTTCATAACATAAAATTATATTCTACAGAGGTGATCAGCAATCACTTGGTAAGGGGTTATATTGGCTCAACCAAAGATCTTAAATTTGAGTATTGGAGTAGTGTTTGGTGGTAAAATTTTCATCTAAACTCGACTTGATCCAGATTTTAATAGTAGTTAGCTTTCAAACACATATGATTTACTTAAAAAGCTTCTACGCAGAGGGTCATTATATATAAAAATTTAGGTCAACTCTCCCAATTAAACTGTTAAACTATTCAACAAATATCTTAATTAATTTAATAAAATATAATATTTATGATTGATTTGATTATGATTTTAACCTTTAACTTTTGAATTAGTGACGTGATGGGTCTAATTTTTGATACTTATATGTTTAAACTTGATAGATGGGTCCCATCTAATTTACGTGGAGGAGGGGGATGTGTACCTTTCATGGATCCAATTGTGGATTAGATTTGTGTCGTTCACCAAAAAGACAAAAATTTTCACTGTCAGATCCTCGTAAGGCATGTTTGAGTGCTACACTAAGCAAAAGCGGCCGTTGCATTTGGGTGCCCCCCCCTCCAAAAAAAAAAAAAAGCCCCAAAGAAAAATGAAGTTAATCATTTTTCAAAAAAAAAAGGAATGAAAATGTCATACATGATCCACTTGGTTGCAAATGGTAGAAGATGAGTTGTAAATTCAGAGAGTTCAATTGCAAATTCAGAGAGATCGTTTGACAATAAGTTATGAATTGTGAAAAATTTATAAATCCTAAAAGTTTGATTTTTATGCAAATTGAAAGCTCTGTTATAAATAAAATATTGTACATTGTGAAAATTTTAAAAGTTTAATTTAAAATTCATTTACAACTAATTTTGCATTACTTATGATTGAAATTCTAACTTTTGAAAATTTGCAAAACTTTCAAAATTTATAACTTCTTTACAACTGATCTTCCCATATGTACAACTAATTTTTACGTGATTTGCATTTAAGCTATGTATCAACTATATAAGAGTATTTTATCCATTTATTTCTTTTTTAAAAAAAAATTATGGTCCTTTATAATGATTAATTATTTATATGGTCCTTACATGTCATTCTCCCAAAAAAAAACTTCTTCTAATAATTCAGGTGATTAATTTACACAAATTAAAAAAAATTAGTCAACTTAGCTATTTATAAAAAAAAAAAAAGTACTGCTTTCCCTAATTAAGTTAAAGTGTATCTTTGATCATTTAATTTTATATAAAATTTCATTTTAATCTTTTAATATTATAAAGTATTTTTTTTAATTCTTTAACTCTAACAACGTTAACAAGGCCAGATACAAAAGGTATATGTTTTTACTTGTAACGCATGTGAAAATTAATTTTAACCCCACTTTCTTGTAATCTTTCATTTTTGGCCCCCATATATTGATTTCTAGATCCGTCCCTGACTGTTAGTTTTAAATGATTATTTTTATACTAATTATTGATTTTTTAAAAAAATTAAATTTAATATGTTAATATTTAAAAATATTTTATTAATATTTAAAAGTTTAGCGTAAAAAATTTTTATGGATAAAACTAACAATGTTATGGTTACAAGATTGAAAAAACTTTCGTAAAATTATGAAATCAAAATAAAACCTTGTTTAAAGTTAAAAAATAAAAATATATTTTAATTTTTAATTAATCATATTAAAAATGACAAGAAATTGAGATTTTATAATTAGAAAAAAAATCTAGGTTTAAAACCCAAGTGATTGTTACATTTGGATGTGATCAAGAGTGTTCAAGGATTTGGTTTGGTTTAATTTTAGGTAAAAACTGAACCAAACCAAACTAATTAATTTGCTTATGATTGAAACTTAATCAATTTTTGAAAAAATTGGTTTGGTTTTGTTTTCTTTTCAATTTGGTTCAGGTTGATCAAGATATGTATCAAGCTTTAATATATTTATTTAATTTTTTTCATTTTTTATAACACTTAGTATGAGTGTATCATTTTTTTTTTGTAGAGTGCATTTATATAATCACTTGATAGTTCATAACATTTTTTTTTATTTTCCTATAAATATTTTTAATAGCATGAAAATATTAACAATAAAGTAATCATATATAAACGTCTTCAAATCATAAATTATTAAAAATTGATGAAACTGTAGGTTTCTTTTGAATTATATAATTTTAATTCATTGACATTTGATCAAAGTTTGCTTATTATGTATATATGATGACATTTGAGCGTAATTTTTGCAGAAAAATATAAAACAAATTTGGCTACTATAATTTGCAAAAAAATACTATTAACAATAACCTTTTATTATCAAATATATATAATTGCATTTTTCTAATTGTAGACAATAGTTAACTAATTATAGATAAGTATTCTTAAAAAAATATCATAAAAATTATAACACTATTTAAAATAATAAATATATTTTTAACCATCAATTTATAAATAACCAAATTTAGGAAAGAGAAAAAAGATAGAAAAATTTATAAAAATAAACATAACAAGATTTAGTTCGATTTGATTCAAATTTTAAAAAATAAAAACTTGAACCGAGTTAAATCAATTGATTTTGTTAAAAGAAAAATCAAACTAAATCTTATTTATAATCAATTTTGATCGATTCGTGTCGGTTTAATTTAGTTTGGTTTGGTGTCATTGATTTATATTAATTTTGAACACCCTTAAACGTTATTGGTCTAAAAAAAAAAGAAAATAGTGGACGATGTGTCGTTGAGCACACCATGCACGCAGCCATGAACGCTGCTAGTCTGCTCTACCCGCAAAAACATGTAGACGACATTTCATAAAGCACAAGGGCAGCTTCGTACTCCACTCTGTCAACAAGAAGGACACTTTGGCGAACACACAGGGAGGACGAGAAAAAAGGTCCTAAAAAAAATTAATTAATTTAACTTAAATTTTAAATATTAATTTTTAAAAGTTTATAAGTTTGATTTTTAATTTTATAATTTTATTATGATGAATTTATAATTTATTTTTAAAATTTTAATATGGTTGAAGAATAAATAAATTTATTTTTCCTTCTAAAATTTAAAACACAAATTGTAAACAGCACAATAAAATTATAAAATTGAAAGCTAAATTTATAAATTCCTGAAAGTTAGTACTGAAATCTAAGTTAAATTAATTGAATCTTTTGAGATCTCTTTGTCATTCTACCTAATATATATTCTACCCTTTACAAGGTTGAGACGGGCACAAGTCATGAATCTCTTAATTTTTTATTTTTTTAAAATAAAATATGGGAATTATATATCTTTGGTTCTTTTAAATTGGTGTATGATAGGAGGCTAAAGACACTAAATAAAATTTTCATTGTAATTTTATATGCAGTCTTTTATGCATATGTAGTACAACTGTTTCAATAGCTTAAAAATACAGTTATCATATACTATTAAAACATTGATGTCATCAGATTTTAGTTTCATTTAATATTTAATGAAAGAAATTATAAAAAGTATTCTAAAAAATTTTGTCAGCAATAAAAATATATAATTGACATAAAGATTTTGTGATAATTAAACAAAATTACTATGTTGATATATTTGTTTATCATGATTACTAATTGAAAGAATTAAATAATAAATTTAGTAAACAAGTAAGGTTCCATTTGGTTATTAAAATGAAATGGAATGAAATAGATTGAAAAAATTAAAACAAAAATAAATTAAATCACCCTTCCTTCCATGATAAATATGATCAAACTCAATAATATATAATACAAATGTAAGAATCATCACATCTTTTAAAATCTCATGAATCATGACTCCCAACCTCATAAATTAAATTACCCCTTACATTTATGAATATACTCACTTATTCCTTTTGATCATCTTATTTTTTATCTTTATTTTTTTAATCCATTCAATTTCATTTCTTTCTAATAAGCAAATAAGACTAATAGAATTTTTTAAATTGAACATTACTTAGATCCCAATTATACATATAAATAATTCAATGCTTGTATGGAAGGTGAAATTTTCATTAATTTAATTATAACTTATATTGAAAAGAAATTTTTAAAAAATTTATTATAAACATGATAATTAATAATTTTTATATCATAAAAAAATTGATGAGTAAAACTTAAAAATGAAGGTATATGTTTATTTTTGTTATATATTTATAAGATTAAATATAAATATATATGTTGAAATATTTATATAATGTGTGATATATATATTTAAATTTTTTCAATTATCATATATATTGTCACTTTGGCCCCCTAATAAAAAATTCTAACTCTACCCTATTCCTTTGTATAACTTATAGGATAAATTTTTAAAGCTTCTTCTTCTTTTTTGCCTTTAATATAAAGTTAGAGTAATTAATTTTTTTCCTAATTATACTCCTTATTTATTTATGATTGTTTGAATTCTTGAAAAAGAAATTATTATGATTATTAATTGTAAAGAAAGGCAAAGTAAAAAAGTTTCATTTTTTTTAACAATTCTCTGAGGAACACCTACCCTCTTAAATTATATCATAACAGTTTAACCCTTAAAAAACTTAAAATGTAACGTATTTATCCCTAACATTAAATTAACATTTTATTCTATAATTTATTAGTCCATGCGCGCATTAAAAGTTATTTTATCAACTTATTTTTTTTTATTCCAACCAATGGATTTTACAATGTGTACATAGATGCATATGTATGTGTGTGTAAAATGCGTGCCACTAGCTATAATATATATTATTGGTATTGATGATTCATTCAGCGGATAGATTATCACATTTGACATTAAAAAAATTTATAAAATCTTGGGCATGATATTTTAGTGCAACTGATTGAAGTTAGCCAAAAAAAAAAAAATTGGATGCGTGAAATGATGAATCACATTAATATATGATTCTGTGGCCAACAAATTTTTTTTGTGCAAGCATATATTTTTATAATTTTTCTTAAAATCATCCAATATCATAAAACGAACAATGTCAAATAAATCTTTCTTCTTCACAGCTGTCATTATATTGACTCGTGAAAAATGGTTTAAAAAACAAGCCTCCATAATAATGAACACTGAATAAGAAGCACCTTTTTTTAATGTAGCTCTTGGACAATTTGAAAATTGTTACATGATTAAATAAATAATATTAAGTTTTGTAAAAAGAGACAGAAGACCCAAAAAAAAAATTAAGAAAGCTGTTGAATGAGATTTTTTGATTAATAATACACTCAACAGCTTGTTAATAGAGCACAATAACATCATGCAATCTATATGATTAACTTCATCTAATATGATAAGGCTTGTTATTATTTTGATTTGATGCATATAATATTTTAATTCATGATGCTCCTAAAAGAAATCAAACTTAAGCTGGATGAGAAATTGTAAGACCAACCGTAAAAAAGGCTCTGATGAGGAGACCAAAATTGCAGGATCAACCATTCACTGGACTGAGAATCCATCTGCTATCCACTGACTCTCCAGTTAATTTTTTTTTTTTTTACTGCAAAAGGATGATATATTAAGGAGCTTATAGTCATCAAATCAAAGATCATTATAAGGTAGATTCGCAAGCCATATGGCCGCCAAAAATATTTTTCAGCCAATAAAAGGGGTAGGGTAGGTGGAACTGTTCAAGATTACCATGCAGGTCTAATTCCAAATGATGATGCAAGAAATCTTTGGATTCATACCTTCTTGGTTTGGATTTGACGGACTGCCAGGTTTTCTTATTGCTTGCTAAAAATTAACAGAGCAGAACTTTTTTAGGTTGTGAATCCAGAGCATTTGAGGAAGGAATGGCAGTCCTTTTAAGTGTCTGGAAGCAGAAAAGTTTATGAACTTGACGAAGATTCCTTCCATAGATTAATCTTGGATCTTGACGGGAACAACATGGGGTAAATACCTCATGGATAAAAATGTGAAGTGACATGATGAGGCTTCAGTTTGACTTGTAAAGGATGAGGATCCTGCTTGGATGCATCTTCTTCTTGGCTTTTGCCCCTCTTGGTGACAAAGCATCTGGTATTTTAAACCATATTGCAACCCGACTTTTTCCAGATTTGAGCTGAGCTGGATGTCCAAGAGCTATAGTCTCTTCTGCTAAAACCAACACCTGTTGATGGTGTCTCTCTGTTATTATCTTGTAATAATTAGTATCAACTAAAGCAACCAACATTTGCTTAAGTAGAAGCTGCAGACCAGTTTGGGTCAAACTAATTTAAAATCCATATTCTCATTGGTTTAATTTTTTATTTAAATAGTAATGTCAGAAAGGGGTCAGCCATTATAGTGTTCCTTGACTATCTTGCTTCATGAAAATTCTTATTAAAGACGTAAAATGAACAGGGAAGACATCAGTGAAAGATAAATTGGATTAGGCTACTTCCCTGAGTTTAAAATCAGAAAAATCTATGGAGTAGTGAGTTCAGAGACATTTCCGAGACCTAATTGGCAAATTCTCGCTTCTTTAAGTAGATAAGAAGCTATTGGAATTTGAAAGTGACAAGTGAGTTGTGATCGATGCAACTAATAAAAAGAAATTAAAAGACAAATAAATTATCAAAGTTTGGTGTAGCTCCAGAAATTGTCGGCTGCTTGGAGGTTGGCTACAACCACTAACACTGTTTTAGAACCATGTTGCATCACTTTGCTTCATGGTGTGTAAAAGAGAAAACGTTGCGCCAGTTGGACCTTCAAGTGTCACCTTGGTGTGAGGATACTGGTTTCTCCAATATGTCACAGGTTCTAGTTGGCTTAGAGGGAATACGATTGGTTTTGTAAAAATGATACCAGAGACCCATATATACAGTTAGATTTTCTCTCTATTTAACAACTTGGTAAGGAGTAAGTTTTGAATATATGATAACTTAAGTTAAACCTGCAATTGTAGGAGAAGAGAGGAGATCAACATACCGCTTTGAAGTGTACTCAACAATCACCACTAATTTCATATCTGAAAAATCTGCCACAAAATTTAAAAAGAAAAGCAGATAGTAAAATGTAAAGTTTGTATGGCCCAAATCATGGTTTTTACCAAAGTCATCATGGGAAAAAAAAATTACCTAGTAAATTGCTGCTGCAGAAGCACTACTATATTTCTTCACTCATATCCAAAGAATCTGGAACTTCTAGTACATTAGCAATTGGCAATGGAAGTGGACGATTTTCTTCTGTGAAAGGAAGTAGCTCCGCTGAATACAAGCTCTTAATGATCCAACTAAAAGGCTGCAAAGGAAATCGAGATAAAGTTCACATGCATATCTGCATATAAATATCCATACATGCATTACTAATGATTATTCGTTACATAAATTTACGTTATTCTAATATATATTTGTTTGGCACTGATAACAGAAATTAATGCATAATAAACTTCTTCAGACTATCAACTATTTGATCACTTATGGTTATTCATTTTTTCATAAAATTTTTTTGCATGCGAGATCAACATGACAATTTCTTCTAATTCAACGGTTGGATCAATGAAAATCACCTCCAATGATAAAATAGTGAGGAGTATAAAAATGTTAAATTTTACGCCAATTCCAATTGACCTGTCCTTTTATATATAAAGCCTTATCAAGTGAGAGACGCAGTCTTATGCAAAAGGTGAATGGAAGAATTAATCAGTTAATCACCATAAGATCACAAATCCCTGGTCAATATTAACGCAAAATCCATTAATGGAAAAACTAAAGATGTTTATTACAAATTTGTGACAATTATGCATTATTCTTGACCATTGATTTATGATTTAAGAGTGATTATTACTCCTCTAATCTCCCACATAACATCACTCCTGCTGGGGACTGAAAACTATATAATTCCTAGTCAGTATTAAAGAGATCCTAAAAACTAAATGATATTCTTAGTTTCTTACCATAATAGGAATGCCCTTCTCCGAGGCACAGTATTTCAAGTGACGTGATATAGAAGGTTTATTTTCTGCAATAATAGCTCCCACAGAAATCCTTCCTTCATCAATGCTCCTAACTAACCAGTGAAGGGTTTTGAATACCTGTCCACCTCCATGCTGGGCAACAAAAGAACAGATTTTTTTTTTTTTAAGTGAGAGTAGGTATTAATTAATATGCAAGAAAGTCATGGGTGGACATTTTTGTACCGCTAGCTAACTAGAAGATGGACCTGGTGGCATTTTAACACGAAACAAAATATAGACGGCGTGCAGGTAATAAATTGCAGTCTCGAGTTATAAAATAGTCAACTACAAGATGGACATTATGGTATTGATATTGCAATTATTGTTGGTAAAGAAAAAAAAATATTGCAATTACTGTTTGTGTATCTCAGCAGCTAGAATAATTCAAGGAATTTATTATGATTCCAGAGGTATTAATCGGATATCAGTTATCATTAAGCATCTAAATTTCAGAAATGAGCCATCCAGAGCTTGAATGATAGCAGAAAGAAACCGAAATTGAAGTTGATGGTTCCGTATTGAATTTAATTATAACCCCTTCTCCATGCTAAGGCGCTGGACATGACATATACTTTAACAAAAGAATGCTAAAATAACAAGATTACTGAAAAGATTAAATTAACAATAAAAGAGCAGATGGTTGAGTATATTATAGTTCTACAGAAAATAGACCACGATGGCCAAGGCAAAAATCGCAGTATTGTCAAGTTATTCAAGTCCTCTAAGCCCATGAATGGAAGAAAAAGACCATTACCTTGATAACACTTGCCAATTTGGTGCAGAAATTATGCTTGCCATGTAGCATGAACCCTGCTCTCTCAAAAATTGGCTTTTGGTTACTATCACGAACTGGCCTTCTTGTTACGGTTAACTTCATGTCACTCCGATTTTGAAGAATCATGTATCTAACACGGATGAATCAAAAGCAATGAATTGGATATCATTAAGAGCATGCATCATTAAGATAGGAGATTACATCAGATCAAACGTGTCCATTGACTGGGATAATTTTGTCAACCAAAATTCAATGAAAAGGAAAAGATAACTCGGCACGTGGCATGAAAGAACTGTTTCTCCATTCGAACCACAATTTCATTCTAGAGTTTTAACCTTAAAAATCCAAACACATCAATCACATTCTACTCGATAGGTAGAGTTGGAGTACTGTTGTCCACCAGGAGCTGCAGTTGGGCCTATGAATCTTTCTTTTGTCCATGGAAACTTTAGAATTCTTTTGTGAATCACATTATTTCTGTCATTTCAGGTCAACTTCACATTATTCCTATTTAGTGAAAGCATGCCTCACATCTTAAATTGGGAAAAAATGCCAAACTTGATAAGGGAAGGAAAGGACTTCCATTCCTCTAATTCTATTTCACTTCCATCAAAATTTACAAATGTGAGAATCTTCTAGTATTAGGAATATTTCAGTCACAAAAATCAAAATCTAAGCTGTCAAAGTCAAGGAAGAATATAGCTTTTACAATGAGATTAAGTAACCAATAGTCCCCCCAACCCAAAAAAACAAAACTCAAAAGACAAAAGAAAAGGAAAAAGAATAGGGCGCAGATTTCAAAAGCAGAACTAGGGGAGAACATAGCTTACTTCCCAGGTTGTACAATAGTTCCAGCAGCAATACAATCAGTGAGCCAATCAACTTTTAGTATTGAGGCTCCGACAGCACATCCATACAAGAATTTGGCGGTTTGCAGCTGAGACAAATAAAAGGGAAAACATTACATAGTAGAGGGGGCAAAACGCAACAATTATTTGGCACTGTTCACTGTTGCTACTTAGGTCCTTTTAAAATATTTTCATTCTTGTTCCTATCTATGATTTCAAGCCTGTTGCAATGGGTTTGATGCAAGGGAATAGCTGAAAGTATTACAAGGTCACAGAGCACGAAAACATAACAAAACGACATTACAAGATCACAACAACTATGATGAAACGACATAAGAGGGTAGTTCAGACATAAGCTGTTGTAAACACAGTGAGTTAAGAAAAAAATTTTATAAAGATAGAATACTATGAACAATTCTACCTTTTCTTATCGGAAATTTTCTTACGTTTCAGAACAAGACACAAAATTATGTCCAGCCCTACAAGAGAATTTGGGAATAATCTTTGGGATTATGGGACATAACATTATTGATGATTGTGGAGCGACCGCCAACCAGTTTCGAAATAAAATATTAAGGGAAAAAAAACAAAACATTATTGATGATTGAAAACAAACCATTCTCATGCAAAGAACAACAGGAAGTTGTAGGCGAGAGAATGAAGAACTTCTCTTTCTCCTCGAAATTGGAGGAGACGGAATGTCAGATAGGACCACCCCACCAGAATTTCTTATAAGTGCTTCCATGTCTCTTTCCTTCTGACTAGATAATCCAGTGAGCAGGAATTCAGTGCCTTGAAATATATATTTCGTCCTTACCTTTCTGCAATAATTTGTTAGAGAATGTTTCATATGAGGCACAAAATTTGTCAATGGCTTGGAAGTTTTTCTTCTTTTCGCTCTGACAGACGAACCTACATTTTTGGAGCACAAAATCAAGTAATTTCCCACATACCCATTTTGTAGAACATAAAGATACATCACACAGTCAATATAAAAAAGAATTTACTTTTTTCATATGAAGATTCCAACTTCGAGAGAGTCCTTTTCGGATGAAGCCGCTCCTCTGCCTCTGAAAAACGTACTTGCTTTTTGACTCCGACATATCCATCACGGAATTCATTGCACTCAGCTTGTAACTCATTAAGGTGTTTGTTCTGTTGATTCTGAACAGAAGACTTCGGAGTTACATGCTTGTTTGGATGTTTCTCTACATTGATATCATTCCCAACAACCTCCGGATCCAGCAAGGAGTGCTGTATCCTACCATTTAGAATGGAAGTTGATGCCCTCTCTTCTGATGATTCCACTGGAATGGAAATCTTATTTGCTTCCTTTAAGTCATCGATTCTCTTCTCACTTCCCATTTCTATATTTGACCGGCGATTATCAAAGAGTTCATGATTTTGCACAATTTTGCTTCCATCTGTGAACTTGGATGCAGGGAGACCCTTAGAACTCCTTTCATCTGAAAGTGCAGCAACACCCGTCCGCTGATTAGTTGGCAGTAGTGTCTGGTTGCATTTTTGGATAAGAGATTGATTGGGGCCAACCATGCTATAAGTCTTAAGGGACTTCAACTGTTTCCGACTGTTCTGAGCAACACTAGTCAACGTCTGAGGCGTTTGTTGAACCATATCTTCGCCGTCTGGTGAAGACATTATTTGCTCATATCTATTTCCTAATACAACATTATGATCTGAGGTCCTCTGAAAATTGTCAACTTCAAATTCAGGAATGGCGGGAACATTTATATCATTATCAATATCCTGACTCTCAGGTTTGGAATTGGTTAGTTCTGAAGGAATGCTACATGGAACAACTGAACAAAGAGGATCATCAAGTGATAGATTAGAGCATTTGGCCACATTTTGACAATGCAATATGTCCTCATCAGCTTTGGGTAAGGTTTCAGAAGGTATGCTTAATTGAGAACCAGTTCCACCATCTCGTTGCACACAAGAACTCTCATCCGGAACATCATCAGCAGATTCGGAAAGAAAGCTCGTCTCCCTGATGAGAAACTTATAATTAAGTTCTGCATTTTTCTGGTTGAATGGGGATGGATCCGATTCCTTTCAAGCAGGAGAAAGACAGGACCAATGCCACAAAGAAAAAAAAAACAATATTAAGATGCTAAATCCATATTAGCATATGCATATGCTAGAGATACATTCGAAATTTTAAAATGTTAAAGAACCAATCCGGTACTCTAAAAGCATATATTTCAGTTTAAAGTACATCAATAATGTACATCAAGTTAAAAACAACCAATTGAGCAGACAGTTAGGAAATGAAAGAAAATGATGATACAAATTGCCAAACATCATGATTAGAATTTGGCCTCCTATAAAACAAAGTAATGAATGAACATGGAAGAGCTAGCATTTTCACAAGGTTAGAGCATTTGATTAGAAAATAGTGGAATAAGAACTAAGGCATTCAGGAAAATGAAATAGGCAAGTGGTATCCATTTAAATCCTAACAGCTTCAGCATCCTTACAATGTGATGTTGAATCGTGATTTATGACAGTAAAAATTGAAAGAATAATATATTTTCCTGGCACAGTTCTCCCAAAGTTTTATTAGTGAGTTCCTTGTTGAACAAAGTCCTAGGAGTCACCATTTTTATTCTAAAATTCAGATACTTCATATCAGAAATAGAATGTAAACCATAACAAATCACTACTTCCATCAGAAATTAGTAGCCCTTTTAGCTACATGAATTTTTGGTTTGGCCAACACATCCAGCATTGATCTACCAGTGATGTACAAAAACCTGACGTCCACTTAAATAGTTAGCTCTCATTGCACCATTGCACGAGCCATTAATAGCAGAAAAAATTTATCCAAGAGGAAATATGAACTTTTAGATCACATGGCAACTTATCTTTCTGTCAGGAGGAAGAAGGCTTGGAGAGAAAATCAATGGTGTCAGTCTAAACTCGCCAGGATTGCATTCAACAGTATATCATAAGATAAAAGACCAAATTGGTGTGACTCATAGAAGGGAACAATGAATGAAAACAGAAGAAACACATACCTCACTTGTCCACCCACCTAACCAGCGGCTTTTAAATCTGTCAGGAGCCAAGTAATTTTCCAAAATCGTTTTTCCTGAATAATTTCACAACAAATATATGATCATAAATTCTAGAGACAAAAAAGAAATATAGGATAATGTGAAAAAAGTACTCAAAGCATACTGGAATTTCCGACAAGTGAAGATTTGACACTGTTTTGGAGTCTGTTTGAAGTTAAATCAGCTGGACCAACTGCCTGCAAAGTGAAAATCAAGGTAGTAGTATTACATTATAGACAATAAAGAAATTGATCCTGTAATAGTGGTACAATTCTCTGCATACCGCTCAGTAAGTGAAACAGAGAGATGATACCCACTACAATTCAGAAAAAGCAAGTTTATATCTGTCACCATGTTAATATATACTGAGTCTTTTCAAATTCACTTGTTGCTGGTGAAATGTAATGGATAAACAAGACGTGTTATAAGGTTGAACTTTTAAAGAATAAACATATGAAATTTTTATCCAGGAATGATGGCCCAAAAAAGGAAAAGACCGGGATGCTAAATTACCTGGTTTAGGGCAGAAACATTGGAAGTATGCTGTACAAAATGATGGCAGATATGACCCAAACCAGGGTTATCAGAATGCTTATCCCTCTCACAACATATAGAATGTACAGGTGAGGTTTCGTTTTGCTGCAACTCCATCTCTGCATTGACTTCTAAATGTTTCTTTGCTGAATTGTCATCTAAATTTACAAGCTGAGATATATGCTCTCCAAGTTTATTATCACAATCATGATAGTTTGCAGCATCAGATATATCTTTTACTTGAGTCATGGCTAAACTGTGATGTTCCTCAAGGAAGCTGCCGGAAGGTAACCCCACATCTTCATAAGCATCTTCCATATTAAAATCATTCAAATCAGAAAGAGTATCACTCCAATCAGAATCCTCATTTGAAGAGTGGAAGCCATCTTCCAACCCATCAAGCCTAGCCTGCTTCACACGGAGGGCTACTTCAAGTACAGCTTCAGCAGGATATGTTTCTGAAACTGATTCCATTTTTACTATTTCATGTATGACCAGTGCCTCAGACGCTGCAATAGAAAGTTCAACTGCATTACTGATATCAGAATTTTTGAAGCTTGTGACATTGGATTTTTCTCTCTGTTTTCGAGCAGAATCAACGTTATCAGAAGGACATTTAGGACCATCCATTTTCACTGTTGCAGGAATGAAACAAGGCAACATATTCTGCTCAGAGGCATGGTTACCCCTCATAGAATGCAGGTTCTCTCCAAAATCAATAGAATTTTTAGTTGGTTGCACTGACAGAACTTTACTTGATGTAACTAAGTTATCAGATGCATTCAAACCCTGGGTTGGAGAAAACAGTGAATCGACATCTGAAAGGTGCAGACTAAAGGGCAATACCTGTTCCGGAGAAATATTTATAGACAAAACAAACCTTAGCATTGAATTTAAAAGTTAACATATAAATGTATAACCAGTTTTCCTGCTACTGGAAATAAGATGTATTTAACAAATTTCATAAGCATAATTTTTTCCAGATAAGTTTGTTTAGGTCTCTGAGCACAGATGCATCACTGGATAATCCTCCTATAGTAGATGTGGTTCGGTTTTCAGACTCGTTACAAGGACTTCTTTAGAATCCCTTTGATTTCTTTTGCCCAATAATTTAAAGTCTTACATAGTCCCGGCAAATCGAGGCAAGCAGCAAATCCATATACAGATATCTACTATTATATTAGTTAATACTTCAAATACAATTAAAATGAGGTAACTCTTCTAAATAAACAATAAAAGAAGTCATTATCAGTTAAAGATGTTGGCAGAGGATAAACAGAAAGTAAATTATTTGACAAATTCCAGTATTTAAATAGTCTTCACCAAAAGCTCGACAAGAAATAAGTAAGATAATTCCCATTTCTATTGACATCAGAGGATTATACAGAAAAAAAATGTTAGAAGAATGCATCAACGGAAGATAACTTAAGAAACTTACGTTTCCTGGAGATGAAAAAAGACTAGTGGGAGAATTATCTTCTCCAGATAAGAACAAATGGCAGCTTTTGTACCCATCTTCCCTGGAAAGTGCATTAATGTCTTTACCCTCACCAAGATTTTCTTGAGAAACTGCCAGATCCTAGGTCATTTTCAGACAAACAACATGCCCAGGCTAATCAGCCCAAGTAGTCTGAGTGTAAAATAGATTAAATACATAATTTTTTTTGAGCTTTAGGGTTACATTTTAGAGTGTACATAAATTCACAAGTAAATTTACGAGTCTAACAGAAAGTTGAATAACTTTGATTTTTGTATTTATTTGGGGGCATTTCAAAGCCATGGAAACGCTGATAGAAATCTATTTTCCAAAACCAAATGCTTCCAAATTGTTCTATATCAAAATAAATCTGAAGCAGTGTTAAATTAAGGAGATTGAATTCATATATTCAAGAAAAAGCCATTAACACTATTGGAAGTTAGAAATTTGGAAGAAAAATAATGATTACCTGTTCATATGCTAGAAACAAGTTATCGAACGGGGAAGAGAACTTACATTTAAATCCACCCAAAAAAAAAAAATTCAAAGAGAGAGTGAAAATGGGAGAATAAATTTAAACCTTTACTTTTTCACTGGGGTGAATGTAGGACTCCTTCTCACATTCATAAGATCCATCTGTTCTGAGATTCTGAAACCAAGAAGGAAGCCAAGCTACATCCTGTAGCATATGCATGCGTTCAATAGACTTCAAATTGATCTTACAGTAACGAACTTATAAAAGAAAAGGTGCCAGTATGGGTACAATGAAAAGAAATAACATTATGATATATTTGACTTTCTCGCAAAATCATTAACAAAGAGATAGCCAAAAAAATTCATAAACAAAGAAGTAAATTGGTGATAAAGAGGACATATGCTCGTAATTATTTTTGTCATGCGTCTCAACAACACACATTTTTTCCTTGGGAAAAAAAATCTTTGGCTAAACTTTGGCATTGGAAAAACTAAAGATTCTTTATTAATGTATTGACTTAAGATTCTGGCTTCCGAGCTCGAACAAGAAATGTGCACCCAAAATGAATTAAGGTTCGGGTCCCACGGATCTAAATATCGAAGATCAACAACGATTTATCACATGTAAAGAGTGAGAAACGAGAAAAAAATCATATCATAATTCACGATCACATTCCGACAAAAAATAAACAGGGAAAGAAAAATCAGTTGTCTATTCATTTTAGATCGACGCAAGCAAAATGATCGAAAAACACGAATAAGGCATCAACAGTGTTCTAACCTCGGAGAACTGAGGAGGGCGAGGCCCTAAGCTTGCCATCTGAGATGCAGCAGTGAGGGGAAAGCTCAACGCCATTGAAGAGAGCCAAAGGAAGAGGCAGGTCGACGAAGAAAAATTTGGCGCGAAAAGCCACGCTTAAGGTGAAGGTGCGCCAAAACTAAACATTTGTTATCAACCTCATGTCCTCGTCGAAATTCTTAAATTTTTAAAATTTTATTATAGTATAGTGATTTGATATTAAATTTTAAAAAAATAGCAAATTTTTTTTTCATTTAAATTAATATTAATAGTGTCTTACTTTAATTATTAATTTTGCTATTTTACTTATTCATTTTCCTATAATGAAATTAAGCGAAATTCTAAAAATAAACAAGTATAATAAAACAATAAACAATAGTTTATAAATAAATGAACAATATATAATATAAAAATTAATAATTTATCTAAAAATTATTTAAACATTTAAAATAAAAAATAAATTAAGTAGAGCAATTAATAATATTTTGTAAATAAATTAATAAGTGAAATAAAAAAATTTGATATTAATTTAGATGAGGGATAATTTTATCATTTCCCTCAAAAATTTAAGTTCAAATCAGTACACCTAGATTGCAGTATAATTTTAGAAATTTAGAAGTTCTGAATTTAAATAAGTGTGGTCAATGAACCTTTATTGAAATTCCACCAATAATATTTGAATTAATATTTATAAATTATTTTGTAAGAAATTTTGTTGAGATTTAATTGTCATTAATTAAGTCTTTTATAATCTAACTGTCATTCTCCCAATGTATCATCCACTGAATTATTTTTAAATTTAAATGTTATAATTTATAATACCAAATGACCAGTCTGACCATATTAAAATGCTGGCAAGGGGCAGAAGGAATACAGTATAAATATTTTTTAAAAATAAATTATAAATATCAAGTAAAAAAATATCAATTATAAATTGAGAATTACATTTAACAGTTAAATTTTTATTTATAAAAAAATTCATGAATTTGTGATTATTTAAATTAATATTTATAATTTATTTTTAAAAATATTTGGTACTTGATTTTCATTGATTTTTTTAGCTGAACTGATATTCTCTGTTTTTAAATTTTAAATTATATATAAAAATATTTTTACTTATAAATCTTAATAATAAATCCTTATATTATAATGAACCAAAATCACATGTTCTCTTTAAATGTTAAAAACACATCAAATATTTTCATATCAAAGTTGTGCCCTGCTGTTTAGGACACCTTTACGGCCAAAAAAAAAAAAAAAGGATCCTAGGCACCTCCCAAAAACATGACCGTTGTGGCCTTTAGTTTTATTATGTTTTAGTATGTGTTCATAGTCCAAGTCTTTTTAGTTTATCTTATCTGTAGTGTTAATTTTTCTATTTTTAAATATGTTTGGAAAGACAATGAGATGGCGTTAACAGTGTTAAATATGTTGACTCGTGACTAATGTCATTAATCTGTGTAGAGTTAGAACTATGAGGCAGTAAATTAATAGTGTTTTCCGCCCCTTTCTATGACATGCTTCATGTTTCAATCTATTAAATTATAATACAGTTCTACTTCATCATAAAAATTAATGATGTTAGTATGTTTAATATGTTAGCACCACCCAATCATTCTTTTAGATATATTTAAAAATAAAAAAACTTATGTTACAGACATGATAAGCTACAAGGATTTGCAGCAATTTAAAAAAAAAATTATTACAAAGACTTATTTCAAAAAAACGTTAAAATATAGGAAATAATAGTTATATTTTCTCAAAATATTTTTTTAACTGTGTAGAGCTATTATATTCAATTTTGAGTCACAATAGAGTATTAAATGTAGAAGCTTTTTTTAACGAGAATTTAACATAGTGAAAAATTAACTCATTTTATCCCAAAAAAAAAAAAAACAGAACCAACCCATTCTATTAAATCTAAGCTTTTTTGGCACCTCCCATTAAATGTTGACCTTGAACTCATCAAATTAATTTTATATGAATATTTGATTTTCAATTTATTAAAAATTCATTTATAAAAATAGTGGTAATTATGTTATAAAAACACAAATAAAAATTATTGGAAAATTTTGGTCCTAATAAAAGAAACTAGGATCATAAGCAGTTCAAATTCTTATGAATGTAAAAATATCTTTAAAAAAATTATTTTTAATTAAATTTAATAATATTTCGGGTTCGTTTCACATCAATAGTAATATTAAAAGAAATGGAAAAAAATAAAAATTGTTAACAGTCACATTCACACTGACGTTCATGAAGGCGATATCTCCAAGGTGACGGATGAGTCCGTTAGCTATTATGATTATCTCATCTCAAAAGCCATTAACCAATTTTTTTTTTAGCTCCTGCTGTCTTCACGTGGCAATCATATTCGAAGTTGTTAAGTAGTAAATGTGAATATTTTTTTAATGGGTTTCAAATTTTAGTTCATCAATTGTAATATTATGAGATATTAACCCTTTTTTTAAAGCCGAATCCCATTAGTAAAAGCTATTAACTTTATCACTTTCTCTATTATCCCATCGATCTGTTGCTGCCGCCCATGGGAGGTTTACACATTTTTAAGTAATGTTTGTTTTTGGCTTTTAAAGAATATAAAACTTAATCCAAAAGGCACAACCTTTGCTTTCCAAGAAGTGTCACACTATGATATCCTAGTATTTTGGGTGACATTCATCATCAAAAATATTAATTTGGATTTTCTTAATTTGACAATCAACATGACAATTAATTATCCCCTCCTATCGAAAGCATCTAGATCAAAATTGAATGGTACAAATTTAATATTATTTTATTTTTATATTTTAATACATTGTGATTTTAATAGATATAGAATTTAAAATAAAGACAGTTTTATAATAGTCACTCTAACAAAAATGATTTTTTATATAAAAAAATTACAACTTAAAAATTGTAATTTTAAATCGTTAAAATTAATTTTAGATAATCTCAATTTCACCTTAATAACGAGCACAGAAACTCATTGGACATCAATAAATATACAAACTGAGTTGTTTTGAGATTAGTTAAGATGATAAGTTTGAGATATCAAGTGAAAGTCTAAACTCTAATTTTATTTCTGTCACTTTTGAAGCACAGACCTAAAACGCAAATAATTTTTATTATTCATTTTTTTCATATGTTAGTTTGTTGAATATATACATTCTTGTATCTATGTATCTCCCCAAAATATATAATATATATATATATAGACACACATTCTAAAATTTAATATTTGTCTATCCGAGGAATCATATCGTATCTCACGTTCACACATCCCCTTGATTGTGCATGAAAGTTGCATACTAAATCTCTCCACAATATAAAAATCACAATCAAACGATTCATCGATTATATGATAAAAATAAACTTGAACCCCCAACAAACATCAGAACTTCGTAATAATAAAACAGGGAAAACAGAACTAGAGAGAAGTAGCCGGCCTCATAAGCTCCAAATGGCACTTGTTCTTCCTTTTCTTTGACCTTCATTAATGGATTCCCATATTAATATCTGAAGAACTCAGCTTTATAACAAATAACAGCATAGGAGGAAGGAAGAAGGAGAAATCATTGAGATATGGCTAAGATGATGCCGTTTCACAGGAGGATGGAGAAGGACGACGATCTCATCCTTTTCAAAGATTTGCAGAAGAAGAAGCGCGAGAATGAGCGAAACTCGAGCCTCCTTCGTCCTGTTTCCTCAGATGACTATGAATATGACTCAAAGGGTGACAGCAACTATCTGTTTCTTTCTATGCTTCATTTCATCTTAATCACTGGAATCACATCTCTTCTTCTCATTCACTGATACCTTCTGTGATTCTGGGGAACATTGCTTGACACCCACTTCATTAATAATCAAGCCAATAAGCTTGTGAGAAGTAGAAAATACAGAGATTTTCAGAGTAAGAAAATGTCACCGGATCAAATAATAGACTGTCGTTATGGAGAGATAGGTTGAGCAGCTCTTGAAGATATTAGAGTGATATTTCAGGACAATTGCATGCTCCTTCCTCCTGCAACAATCAAGACAATAAGATATGAGAGAGCATAAGTGTAGAGATTTTGGGAGTAAGAAAATATTATTGTTATTAATATTCATGACCATAGAGAGATAGGTTGATTAGCTCTAGAAGAAAATGCTGTTCATTGCACTGATTCTTTCTTGACTTTCCACCTTCAGTATATGCTTGTATTATAGTGTTTGACATACACGCAATAAAACTAGGAAATATTTTGCAGGGAAGTATTCACTATACAGAATTCCTTCCGGGAAGAAGGAATCTAGTTGTGAGTTTCTAGCAGAAAACCACAAGAACGATTTTGATTGGTAAGTACAACAAATTGTTATTTCCATAAAAAAATTATGGAAAATTAATCATTTGTTTTATATAATTTTGATTCAATTGTAATTCAATCCCTAAACTTTGATTCATTGTAACTCAGTCCTTATAGTTTTGACTTGATAGTAACTTAGTCCCTGAACTCTTTCTCAGTGCAACTTAGTGTGCGTGTGAGAGAGAGAGAGAGAGAGAGAGTCATGATTCATCGCTTCTTTGGGTTTGGGATATGTATTCGACAAACGGATGATACCAGGAGAGATTCTTACATAAATATGAGTGAATTTTTTTAATGGATAATGATCATATGTTGGTAATATCATTTGTATTTACTACTTCAATTCAACCCAATGCTTGGAATCAAACTTCTATAGCTACCTCTTAGAAACAAGTAAGAATTTGATCCTTTGCTTTATTTCTATTCTAGTTAATCTTAATTCTGACATTACTATAATATTGACAATTTTCTCAAGAACTGAATGCTTTTATCTGTATCTACTGCATATTTCCTCCATCTATTTTTTTCCCTATAGGTTCCAATCTAAATAAGAATGCTAGTTTTAATTGGTTAGTATTTTATGTCATAAATATACCACATATGCATGCGTAGCCTTCATTGACTTAATCTACTTACCATAAATAAAATCAGTTTACCTTAGAATTATTATCAATAATAAAGAAGACAGCAGTAAAGACACATCACATGCGCACACAAAATAAAACAAATCAAAGAAAAGAAAAAAGGAAGTTAAGTTTAGATTTTGGCATTATAACCACAAAGAAGAGCTTTTGGATCTCTATTTTTTGAGTCATTAGAGAATATTGTAATCATAGGGTTAAGTTAAGAAGTTGCAAACTTTCTATTACACATATATGATAGAACCAGTATTTGGGCATTTCTGTTTGAGTTGTATGAGATGAAATTCTTGTATATGGTTCTGATTCTGAACTTGTTTCATTATATTTATAAGAATAATGTTAGTTTTATTTTCAAATCAAGGAAATTAATGTTTCCAGTAACATGTGAAACACTAGGTTAAAAACACCCCCAGCAACTCCTCTATTTCCATCTCTAGAAATGGAACCAGGTGCTCCCACTGCTTCTCAACTTGTTGTTCAAAAGGAGTTACCAATCATGCAGCCTTTTTCAAGGGTATGTCATTCATTTCTTTCTTCATATCTCTCTGTCTTTTGTCCAAGTCATGCAACTTAATGCATATAAAAAAGGAACAAGAGTCTAAAATTTTCCACCCTTCGTATAAAAGGAAAGTCCTGTTTTACCCTGTAACTTTTAAAGAAAGAGCTGTCTTTTGCCTTTTAGATTCTCCAACTAGACGTTGTGTGCGCGCGCGCGCGCGCGTAATGTGATGGGTACCCAAGTAGGATGGAGAACTCTACTCAAGAACTAGCTATTGAGGTGGAAAAACCAATCCATTTAAATATCTCAATCAGTATCTTATACTACTCAGTATGGGACTTGGTATACCAAGTCTCCATCATAATGCAATTTATCTTTGATTTTTTGTGTAATGCTGTGGAGAGCCCTACCTCCCTAGAGGTTGAAATTTTCATTATTTGATGTGCTTAGAGATTTTCATTTCATTAAAAAAAATGATGGAACTAAGAATTTCAAAAGTGCACCTAATGCTGAAATGGCTGAAACCCTCCATATAATTCCCCTTGGAATAATCCATTTTCATCACATGAATATAGCCAACATACTGCAAAGCTTTCTTCCTTGTGGTCTAAGCTAAATATGGGTTACTGATAAACAGTTTGTAAGAGGTTTTGACATCTGAGTCTGAGAATCTATTTGCCAGCATACTTACTTAATTGTTTTAATTACTAGATAGAATTATTAAAAAGAATATTTGTTAACTAAGCAATATTCCTCTTGTAACCTATAAATGATTGTCATATTAATCAAGTTGATGACATGAAAGAGGTTTTGGAACTCAGTTTGCAGGGAGTGAGTTGGAGGCCTCAAAGCCAAAGACTAGTGAAGGTAGAGCAAATCATATGAATTCATCAAAACCAAAACTTTCTACGAGATCAATAACCCCCAGTCATAACAGACAGAGACCCAGCATTGTCAAGAACAAGACAAATGAACAAGAATCAAACATTCTCTCTATCAAAAACAGCAGTAATAGTAAACTTCATGTGGCTGCTACTGCTTCCAATGTCAAAACTACCATCCAAAAGCAAGGAAGTGATGTTGATACCCTAGTTTTAAGCCTTAAAAAAAGCCAGGAAGTGAATGACTCAAAAAGGATGCTTAAAAGTAGGGGCGTTTCACCTTTCCTGAGGTCAAGTGTTGTAGCTCATATTACAGAAGAATTTCCTGACAAGGCACCAGCAAATCTACGGACAGATCATCAGTCAACATCTGCTACTCGAGGAAGAATTAGCAATCCAACATCAACAGTAGCAGGGTTTCGGAACCGTGATACTACTCCTAGAGCAAGCAGACAATCACATTCACCATCCCGTAGCGTTTCCAATGGTTGGAAACAATCAGAGGCAACCCAGAAACAATTGAGAAACCAAAAGGAAAGATCAGTATCAGGCACTGGAGAAACTAGAGCACATGTCATGGGAAGTAAGATGGTTGAAAAAGTGGTGAATGCTAGAAAATTTGCCACCACTCAAGCTGAGAGAGAAACAAAAGCCAAGCCTCTCAAATATAGAGCATAATTCATCCTCTCTAGCACTTCGATAAGCTAGTGGGAAATAGGAACTATTATGTCAGTTGTTTTTAAATGTCTAGAAGAGATATGAAGACAAGGATGCTCCAGCAGGCAGTGAAGTTTTTGATGCTTTGCATGGTTCGAAACATTATAGAACCAAGTTAAGAAGAGCTGCTAGATAGAAATTTTGAAAAGTTTGATTTGATTTTAAGAAACTTGGATCATGTAAAAATTTCTATCTGCCTTTTTAACATGGAGGTCTTACGTGATTTCAATCAGTTAACATCAGAAGCTAGCTCATGTAATCAACAAAATTTGAAACTATGTTCTGGAATATATCTAAAGTAATACTGGCCAATCATTCTCTGTCAAAATGAATGCTCTAGTTACCCTTCTATTTGATTCTTTAACTGGCACTTAATGCTTCAGAATTTAAGAAATCAAATAAAACTTTCATCTAAGGGAATCAAAATAAAACTTGATGAGTCTAACAGGCCAACATTATAGTCATGCTTTGAGTTAACTGCTGCTGACTCGGTTGGATTACATAGTGAAATACCCTTAAAATCATTGAGACAGGAAAGCAACTGCTAAAGAACATGAAACTACTTGAAATCTTTTACTTCATATAACATGGATGAGTAAACCAGAGAGAGTCATAAGAGTTTCTGCTATATTTCTAAGACATATCATTTATGATAACCACAGACTTGCTTCTTGTAGCTTAAAGCTGAAAATTTGCTCAGCAAAAGTGGCACAGTGATAAAATAGGAAAATTGGCAAGATATTTATAACTCAGTCCATTAATTGAATCATTCCCTCTTCCAGCAAAATGGATACTCACACGGACTAAACTAAAGGAGGGAATGAAGACTCATCTTCCTTAATCCCAAAATCCTCACAAGAACGCCCCATCTTTTGCCATACATCTGTCTTGGCATCAAAGATTGCAGACTGACAATTTAAGCAGACACAAATAAGGTGTCATTGGTGCTGGGCAATCCAGACATGACCATGTAAGTAAGAACTACCTTAGAAAGAGTATTAAAAAAAAAAATTTCTCATTTGAGATGGATGATGAGTTGTTGGTCTATTTTCTTGAATAATCCTCTAGACATACAATCACATAAATAACCAGAGCTTCCCCTCAATTAGTGCTTAACTCAACTCAAATCTGAATTAGTTGGTGGCCTTGAATACCAAAACCAAATGATTCATTATTGGGAAACAAAAAACAAAAAAAAGCAGCAGCAGCATCTAATGGAACACAATTGCCCACTTCACAAAGATCAGGGGCTTACTTGGATATACATTTAAAAGTACTTCCATTTTGGATTGGGAAAAAAAGGTATTTTTGCCTTCTTGTTTGGATGGTTATGCTACATAGTAAGAATTTTGCAAGAGATATTATATGAAGCATAAATTGTTAAGCATTAGGATACTGTGATCAAAAGAACTCTTTAAATACAATTCATTTGGCTACAAAATTTTATAACAAATTTTCTTAAATAAAATTTTAATAAGATATTCAAATATAAAAATAACTTATAATCTTAAAGTGTAAATATTTTAACATTTCCAAACCTATATGGATTAAAATATAAATAGCATTCCACAGAATTAATAATTGTAAATGTGTTTTAACATCTCATAATGCAAAACATGCCCTGATCTGAAGCCATCAACCATCATATAACAAGCAAGCGAATCTATCACTTATAAGCCTATCCAAGCAGGCCCTAAATCTAAAAATGGAATTTAGGATGACAACAAAAGCTCCATAAACCATTACCAAAAATCGAAGACAAATTTCTAGAGCTCCAATGCCTAGAATTATATAATCTGCAAATGATTGATCAGAATGAGATTCATGAAAGTAAAAATAGTCATAAGTAAAGGAGAGAATCACCTCGGGATATCAAACAAAATCTGCTAGTAAGCTGAGATTTAAATTTTGCACCTCATTTGCAAGAGAACCTTTAACATCTTCAACAAACTGATGTAATATATGACCATAATCCAAATAGCCTTATAAGGAATCTCCAATAATAGATAGCGCTTACTTCCATGCACCAAAATCAATGGACTGCAGAGATATGTGACCCAGGTACAAATCTTGCAGATGTTGCTTGCATAATCCAATTCGTCGTTTATTCAAGCTTGGATGGATGCAAGTTGAAAAGCCAGTCTTCCAGCTTGGAAACTTCTGCCTTTCCATAACATGAAGAGTATAGACACTTGGTGCTGCGGATGAGCACCCAATAACAAAACAGTTACAAGGTCTTGACTGTGTCACTAATCTTGCCAGAGACAACAAACACAAACCACTGTAGGAAATTCCATACATTAATGACTCATTATTATCAAAAGCTTCAACATCCAAAGTTTCATTTGTCATCTTATCCTCTATCTCCTCAGTTAATGGAAGCCTGCTGAGTTCCTGGTCAAACCGCTTCTCTATCTCAGTTTCATGTATCCGATACTTCGCTGCTAAAGTACGGATACATGATTTCCGAACTTCAACAGAAATCAAGAGCTTTACCTCATTAAAGTTAACACAATTCTGATACCATCTTAGCCAGCGGCGTACAATCCCTGAAAACCAGTCAATAATTTCAGCAGTATCTTGCAAGATAAGTAAAGTAGCAGGGCGGGGGCATCCATTAGATGTGACCAATCCATATCTCTGGAGACGTTTTTTAATAGCACATAACGGAGCAATAATCTCAGTTTGTTTAATTTCAAGTTGTGTTGAGATGTCAGAATTTGATAAAAGCTGGAGTGTAGAAGCTGTCTCAGAAGATATATACTTATCCACCTGTTTTAGAAATTCATAATATGAATCTTTAAGCTCTTGGGGTAGAGATGGTTCAGCAACACACTTAGATAGGATGATTTCTTCACTTGCAGCATTTTTAGCTTGAATAACTTGCATCCATATCTTCATTAAGTGTTTATACCAATGGTCAGTTTCCATTCCAGACTTACGGAAGCATGAAATGTTGTTTAGCAAAGAGCTATTATTAGCTAAGTGTTTGATTTCTGATTCCTTAACCTTCTTTAAACCATGCCCCAGCCATTTCTTCCCAATTCTAGTTGTCCCATAATTCCAGGCCTCTTGCCTTTGTGAAGCAAATAATTCAATTTTTTTCTTTAACTTGTGAACAGCTTTAACCGCAGGACTTTCTCTAACATTTCTTCTAATTGAAGTTCCCAGAAAGCGAATAGTATCAGATCCATCACAAGGTAGTATATCTGTTTGGTCATCCACATCCAGGAGCAAAGAGTCCTTCAAATAAGTTTGGATCTCAGACTTCAAACTAACAGCAGATTCTCTAGAACCAGAAACTGCAAAAAATATCTCATCCATAACTCGGCAAGAGTATACTTTGAGACCAGGAGTCCCTTCAACTAAGCACTTAGGATCATGACTTTTCAACTGTCTCCTAAACCAACTGCGCAATTTGGAGCATGATTTATCTTGATCATCACAACTTCCACCATTAATAGCTTCATATTTCATTGACAACCTGTAAAATTCTCGATCAAAGAGGTCAAAATATATATTCATGAGAATAGACGATAAAACCCCTTCTTGTGGAAGACCATGGCCCTTTGGGAAACCTCCAAACTCAAAATTCAGTGCCTGGGCCTCAAACATGCCCCAAATCATCGCATATAATTTTGGGTCTTCTATTTTGTCCTCCATTTCTGAGACAAGCTTAGTTAAGACAGCAGCATCTAACTTTTTGGTTACATGCAATGTGAACCACCAGTCAGGATTCAAGATCCCTTTGCAGATGTACTTTAAGGCTGTGGAGTGTCCCCTGCCACTTCGACAACCATGTGAAATTTTGGAGAAGTGTGGCCTATAAACAACTTCCAAAGTAATCCTGATAGCTTCTTGGAGAACCTTCAACTTTAAATTGGGGAGGACAAGAACATCTTTCTTCACACCTCTTGTTGAAATAGTGAAGGTATTGGCAGTGACATCAAAACTCCCATGGCATAGCTGTTCTGCCAAGGTATTGAAAGTGCTGTCATAGTTCAAATCCACATCAACATTAGAGTTAAGCTTCAGACAATTGTAAGCATCCTGAAGAGTTTCTGGATTGGAAACCACTTTTTCCATTACGTCTTGAAATTTCCCGTTCACATATTGCTCCTTGACTCTCTTTTTAATGCGGAATTCAAGCAATCTCTTGAGCTCCATTCGACTCTTTGCCTTTTTCTCAACAACTTTAGAAGATTCCTCAACAAGACTGGCCAGGTCTTTTGCCAATGTAAAATTCCCAAATTCCTTATCCATGTTATCATTAGCCAATGGCATTGTTGAATAGGCGCCTTCTTGTATTCTATCAAGAGGTTTACCTGATACAATGAATACCAATTGTCTCGTATGCACAGGAAACTACCACTTCAAGTCTTATTTAGTCATAAAAAACCGAAAGTATCTTATAAATAAATTAGACAATCGCTAAGTTTCTTTTTCCTTAAAAAAAAAAAAACATGCCACAATCAGAGTTCGAAACAGTGACCCAGCCTCCCAAGTTTCAGTGCACTAGTAATGTTCAGCTGCTTGCTTATATTATTAACTGTGGAAAGGGAAAGTTTGAGTGAAATAGCTTACCCGTATCAATCAAAAGAGAAGAATTGGCGCTGAGAAAGTTCAGACTCTGAATTATGCCACATTTCAGAAGCTTTGGTCTGCAGATCATGATTTCAGAGACAGCGCCACGTTATGCCAATATGGGAAGTTCCATTCAATGGGTCTAGAATCATGTAGAACAAGAAAAATGTGAGAGGAAAATTAAGATGTTACAGAAAAGAGACCCCAATAAGTTGCCAACTTGCTGCTTAACCACAGAATAGTTCATACTAGTAGGAGGTAAAATTTGGAAGCTTTAAATTTCAATGAAAGCTTGCTACGAAAGTCTAAAGTAACAGTTAAAAACAAAAAAGAAAATGAAAAATGGTGCTGGAACCTTAAAAACTACGGACTCAATGCGGAGCAATAGATTACCCAGGAAATTTCTCAGACGTTCAAAGATACAAACGAGGTTGACTTTTTTATTTTCGAACAAACAATCCAAAACAAACACAAAAATCAAACAGGGAATATGTAGAAACCAACAGAAGAAAATCCGAGAAATTCTGAGCTGCGTTCTGGACATTCTCCCCAGTCCTCCGCTGCGTTAGTGCGTTCTCATTTATTTATTTTTTTTTCCAATTCTTTCTTTGTTTTTTTTCCAGGAAAAATGACAATCACAGACCACATAGAGACATTAATTATAATTAGGGATCACGAAATTTGAAAATCTTAGAAAAGGATCAAGCCATAATTAATGTTTTTTTTAATGCCCTCAATAAATAAATTATTTTATTTTAAAATATAAATAGAAGTAAATATGAAAAGATGGTATTAATTTAAAAATAACTAATTACTTTATTAAAAATATGATTCAATTAAAAATATCTTATATTTTTTGACGGAGCGAGTATTTATTATGGACACTTAAAAAAAATACATTAATTATACTTTAAAATACTAAAAATATTTTATATTTTTCAACATTCAACCTCTCAAAAAATATCTTACATTTTTAATCGAGAGATTATGGCATTTCACTCAAAACTAAATATTAAATTATTTATTTATTAAGAGATTTTTTAAAAGAAAAACATATTAATTACACCCTAAAAGGTGAAATATTATAAATACCTTATATTTTTTAATAAAATAAGTAAATTATTAAATTAAAGGGCACAAAAAAGTGGAGTTGTGATTTGATATTTTCCATATTTCTTTTTTATTATTATACATAAAGGAAAGGCTCAAAGTATCAATTCGTGATTTGTCTTGTTAGAGCAAAGGTTCAAGTTCAAGCAGAGAGCGTAGCATCTCATGAAAACCCAGCATCACATTAAGGCCTCTCTTAGCAAAAAAAGTCTACAATTCTTTATCTTGTGCTAACATCTTTAACTACCATTCAATTGAATTAGTAATTTTGATAATGGCACATGAGACATATAATAGTTGAAAGGATTTAGTGCAAGTGGTGGGAGTCAAGATAACCTTGTCTAAAAGCTAAAAGTGGTTATAAAATGAGATCTAAAAATTATTGTTTAGTTATTTTTTATAAAATCACAATTAATTTAGATTCTGTCTCCTTATCACAAGTTTAACATAAGTGATAAAGAGATGCTTTGCATTTCAAAAATCATAATAAATGTTAGCGTAATAACAATTTCTCTTTTGTACCCCTCTCTAATGTCCTTTTCTATGAATTTTTTAACAATTTTTTTGCACTTTTTTCTTATTATATCTAGTTAAATTATCAAATTATTTTTCTCAATTTAATTTATAGTGCTATTAATTTTTCTAATAATTTTTAATTATATCATTCATTTTATTATATCTTTTATTTAAAATATGAGGTATTATATTTAAAATAGACAATTCACTTAAAAATTTCACCGAATCATTGATGCATATTATAAAATCTACCCCCAATATATAAAAATATAATCAAAATAAATTATCATAAATTTTAATTTTTCCTAAATTTTGTAGGTTATTACATTTTTTTCCTCTTATGAAAATCAATCTTCTAAATTTCTAAACATACAAATCTCAAAATTCAAATAAATGGTAAATTAAGGATGTATATATTGCATACTTGAAAAGAAAAAGGGACATTACAATTTTCAAAAATCCTCAACCATGCATAGGCATAATTTTAATTGAAAACATTCCAAAGCATACTTACACAGATATACCCAAAGGATCAAATAAAAAATCTAAGTTCTGATACCATTCTGTCACACCTACAATAACAAGTGTGACTAGCATGAAATAAATGTTAATCTTGATTCATAAACCTAATCCATATATATTTCTAATTACAATTGAAAAAGATCATACACTTCAATGATATAAAATCAAATGATATTGTGATATTCATGACTTTCTGAGAAGATTTTTAGTAAATCTTTGAAAGAAAGTTTTGAGCACTATTAAATAACTAATTTGAACATATTACAAGAATTACTTCCTCAATCTTTATAAGAATTACAAGAATGATATCATTAAAAATCATATCATTCATTTTATTATATCTTTTATTTAAAATATGATGTATTATATTTAAAATATACACTTCACTTGAAATTTTCACTGAATCACTAATGCATCTTGTAAAATCTACATCAACATATAAAAATATGATCAAAATATATTATCATAATTTTTAATTTTCTCTAAAATTTTTTGGGTTATTACATTTTTTTCCCTCTTATGAAAGTCAATCCTTCAAATTTTCAAGCATACAAATCTCAAAATTCAAATGAGTAATAAATTAAGAATGTATATACTACATACTTGAAGAGGAAAAGGGACATTATAATTTTCAAAAATCTTCAATCATGCATAGGCATAATTTTAATTGAGAACATTCAAAGCATATTTACACAAATACATCCAAAGGACCAAATAAAAAATCTAAGCTTTGATACCATTCTGTCACACCCACAATGCCAAGCTTGACTGACACAAAATAAATGTTAACCTTGATTTATAAACCTAATCCGTGTATATTCCTAATTACAATTGGGAAAGATTACACACTTCAATGATATAAAATTAAATGATATTGCAATACTCATGACTTTTTGTAAAGATTTTCAGTAAATCTCTGAAGGAAAGTTTTAAGTACCATTAAACAATTAATTTGAATGGATTACAAGAATTACTTCCTAAATCTTTACAAGAATTACAAGGATGATATAATTTTTAATTATATCGTTTATTTTATTATATCTTTTATTTGAAATATGATGTATTATATTTAAAATATATATTTCACTTGAAAATTCCACTGAATCACTAATGTATCTTGTAGATTCTACCCCTAACATATAAAAATATAATCAAAATACAAGAATTATATCAAACAAGTATTGAAATAAAGAGGTAGATATCTTGCTTGTTTTAAACAACTATTGAATGCAATAAAATAATAATTTAAATTTATATCAAACAAGTAGAGGGTCCCTTGTATAATGCAAATGAAAGGATTGTATGATTCTAACATTTGGTATACAAATAAATAAAGGATGTTTCATAATAAAACTCATTACTAAAATAATTATAATATGCATAAACATATGTATCCTGAATCATGTTTATTTTCTCAAGATAAGATGACAATACCTCAAATATCTAAGTTATCTTAAGCACTTCAAATACGTGGACATGGATAAATATTTTCTAATAATCCAATACAATACTCACAATATAGAATGCTGAAATAACATTATCAACAAATGTGGGAAGCATATTTCAAACCCATTAAAATAGCAAAATAGACTTTAGAGCAAAAATCCCAAGATAAATTTATCCAGGAATTTAAAATAAGAATTTCTTTTTAAAAATAGAAATTAAGAAGAAAATAAAATATTTTTCTAAAAAACAAATTCCTTTTGAAAAATCCATAGAGCATGAGATTTCTATTACAAGCATAGAGCCCACATGAGTAAATCACTAATCATGTATGGTTCGTAGACTAGGTATGGATATATAATCTATGAAAATAAGTAACAAATCCAGCACAACCTAAGGCTACAAATCTCAAGTGCAAATCGAAGGCTAAGAATGTCAAATGCAGCTTAAAGGGTATGAAAAATAGGCATGTTATGTTTGATTCCACCATAAGTATTCCCAAGTACATCAGAAATCAATCCTTCAATATATGAAAATATTTATTGAAAAAGAATCTAAACCATATCTAGAAGGCAGAGTCAAAAATTTTTATTAAGGAGGGTCGAGATGACAAAATATATATAATAATTAAAAAAAAAGCACATATATATATATCACTGATAAAATATAAATATTTTAATATATATATATATATATGTTTATATTTAATTTTACACATGTATAACAATATTTGTGTGTGTGTTTTTTTTTAAGTTTTTCTCATCGATTTTTTATGGTATAAAAATTATTAATTATTATATTTACGATAAATGTTTTAGCAATTTCTTTATCAATAGGAATTATCATTAAATTGGTGAAAATGTTATCATCCCTATAAGCATTAAATGATTTAAATATATCATTAGAATTTAAGTTTTGATCAATGTAATAAACTATATTATTTGTTTATTGAATTTACTATTTAATTTTTTTAATTAATAATTGTAGTAAACACATATAGGAACATATTAACAATGCTCAATTGTTATAAAATTTTTATGTCAATGAGATCAATTGTCATAAATTTTAATAACTTGATTATTTTAAAAAAAGTAAATTTTTTTTTTTTGGAAGAACATCTTCATCAAATTTCTTAACTTTTAGATAAGTAATTTTATAATAGATATCAAGTGCATAGAATTCAATATATCTTGAGATTTTTGTTACAATGTTTAACAAAGATTGTTAATAATAATTCTCATAATTTCTTTTATTAAATATAAAATAAAAGTAAAATAAAATGACATCCATATTTAAGAGCATATATAACATTATTTTATTAGATCATATGATAACCATATCTTTAAATTACTAAAATAGTTACTCTATACATATGTCAAACACTACATATATAATTAAAATAAAAATTTAATCTAATATTTCATAACTTTTATAATGTGTTAATTCAAGAGAATCTAAAATATATAACTCATATATTTTATTAAAAAATTAAAAAATTAGGAGGGCTGTGGCCCTGTCGATCCTCCCTCTCTCCACCTCTGCATATCTATAAGCGGTTTTTCCAAAGTTTTCTCTATAACTTTTATACGCTTTAAAAAAAGTCTTTAAAAAAAAAAGACCCCTGACAAATAGTCAAATATTTAAAATTGTGATTTAGTTATATTTTCAATTAAGATAGAAAAATCCTCTTCTATGCGTAAATTGTTTTGCTAACAAATTACAATACTCATTTCATCAAGCTCAACCCAACCGGATGTATATAGCAAGTACTGCTTTCAATTAAAAAATAATTGTAAAATAAACTTTCAAATAGACTGGAATTTCATACAATACCACAATGAGTCAAGATTCAGACATGCTAAGAGCCAAGAGAATGAAAATATGTATGCTTGAAACTAACAAAAACAATAGAACAACATTCCATATGTACTGAAATTCAAGCTTCCCTCACT